AAAAAAAAAAGGAAAATGAAAGAAATATAAGCCCGAAAACCAAAACCGTTTTAATTTTAGTACAACATCATTTTTGCAGATAATTCAAAAAGATAATACTGCTGGGGCTAAATTTTTAAACATCCAACAAAACCATAAAATTTCCTTGGAAAATTCTCAACAGTGACATAATATCAGACAAAAAATTCCTAAAAAATGTTTATCAATTAAAAAATTTTGCCTTTTTGATTAAAATACAAATCACTGCTGCTTTTTTCACTTTCCCCTCGTCCATATGCATTTAGTTTTCTTCTCTTTCCAACCACACATTTTGCTGTAAAATGGGTCAAAAAAGCCTCTTAGAGAAACCGCCTCCACGGCAAAAAAGCTCAGGTGGATGTAGCCATCTGATCTGCTAAACAATCTGCCTACTTTATTAACAATAAAGCAAACAATTATGTACCATCAATACAAAAAAAAAAATTATCGTTCTTATTTGTAACATCAGATAACCTATTGCTTAAACACAGAAGGCGAATTGCTATGTTCTTTTTTTATTCAAACTGCTACTAATCAAGAAAAATCATCCTTTTAACACAAAAATTCTGTCGTTGTTGTTTTTTTTCCTTTTCAGTAATCCCAAGCAACTGTCTAATATCACTTCTTAGCGGAATAAACTATCTAGTTTCTACAAACCAAGTTTACCCTAGTAAGTTGGTGGTACTAAACTACCATTTAGATAATAAAATTTTTTTTATTTAGCCACCAGTTTTGCACAAATTATTTTCGCCAGCTCTTTGCGATGCTACAGTAAATCAGTTGGGCCAACGGCGTCCTGCTATTCACCACTGTCAAAATACTATGTAAAATACCCATAATTTGGTATCGCTTCAAAAATCCTAAAGCCTTCTGCTGGTTTGTGATAAACCAACGCAACACTGAATTTCTGCTCTGTAGCCAATGAAAAAAGCCGAATAAAAGCTGGTGTCATAAAATTTATAATGTAGTAATTAACGTGACTTTACGAGTAGTTTGCAAAAGGTTTTTGCATAATTATTAGCCAAGTATTTCAACATACGTGATTCACACCATATTCAATCAAATTTCAATCATGCGCACAGTTGCACACGGCAAACGCCTACCCAAACTACTAATCTACCGTAGACAATGAGCTAAAACTACTATTGCTGATAGGCAATGTTAGATCAAAAAATACGCATCACTTTAGTGTATTTAACCTAATAAAACTAAGTATTTTTCTTCTATCTTTTTTCATAAAATTAAAAAATTTTCAAAATTTAACAATATAACTTAAATAAAATCATCTACTTGATTAACAGTTATCTTTTTCAAAAATAATAAAAATAACTAGAAAAAATATATGAAAGATCAATCTTAGTGATGTCGAAAACATTAGAACACAAAAAACAGCAAAAAGGGCAAATATTAACAGTGATTTTGATAATGTGAATTAATATAATTCTAAGTAAAAAGTTTCAAAATAATTTAAGAAGTTATGCAATAGATACTGAACTTTCAAGAAATTTTATTAAAAGTCAAAGCAGTGTTTGATAAAACTTGATTAACTCAATTAAAATACTCAAACATGATCTTCATGAATTGTGTGACCGAAAATCACGTGTCAAAAATTATAAACTATTAAGTGGAAAAAAATTTACGATTTTTTTTCATAATAAATATCACTTCCTTATAATCAAAGAATGTTGCACTAGCAAAGTCCGCTATAATACTGTAGTTGACAAATTAATATTAATTTATCACGAAAACGAATTATAATTAGTGAAATTGAAAAAAAATCAAGCTCGAAAAACTTTTTTTTTAAAATTTACGCTCGGCGCAGCCTGGCTCATTTAATATTTTATACTACTTTGCACTTGTCACCATCAGAATAAGACGTGGCAGAAATAAAGAACAGGCCAAAATTGTATGATAATTTTAGCGTTCCAACACTCCAGTCAAACTCAGTGAACGTCAAAATAGGCCCCATTCAAATACATTCATGAACGACAAGATAATTTCGTACCATATGCACTATGCTTTCCATTCTTAGCCTTATACGTAAAATTTTGAAGAATAATCAATTGTCTTACAATAATTACTCTTAGTCCATATATTAACTTGCTCAATTCAACAATCAAAAAAGCTTCAGAAGTAAAAGTAAAAATCAATACTACTTTGGACCCTCTTTGAATTTTCAAAACAAATACTTCAAAATTTGAAATCTGCGCATTTTGAAAAGTGTTTTAGAAAAAAGTTTCCAACCTGTCTCGAACCAGCAAACATGAAAGCATCCGCCGTATCGAGTTTGATACTTAGGTCAATAGTTTCATGATAAAGACTTCTGACAAAAAAGTTTATAGAGATAGGCTTTCGAACTACACACGGTGAAACACCAATTTTTACAGTGATTTCCAGTGGTGATCTACGAGAACCAAAAGATCCCAGGTCCATTTGCGAAACAACCCACGGTTCTGAATCACTGTCCAACAATTGCCTATCACTAAAAGAAAGAATTAAAAAATCTTGTTTTATCCGCAATAACTTCAAAAAGTCACAATAGGAATAGAAAATCATTTTAAAAATTTTTTGCTAAACCAAAATGAAGATGCAGGAAGAGGAAATTAGAAAGTAAACTGCTAATAAAGCTCAATATCAAACCTAGACATATTTATCAGTCATGAATTAGGCCTTCTACTAGCCAACCCTAGCCCTAATCACAAAAGGCTAAGAAATGAATTTAACGACAACATCGGGCTGTTAAAAGTGTAATAAAAAGTGGATTTCCCTCTAAAATTTACTTGCGCAAAAAGTTTCCAAATCTTTTTTTTAAATATGAGTTGACACCATTAATTGTAAAAAATTAACAAAGCAAGAAACACCTTTTCCACTTAATGCATATTTGTCCAATTGAATTTCCATTTAAGAAATGGTTGTCCATAGATATAATACCGGACACACAAAATATATCATCCCCATCATACCTCTCGAACTCTCCTAAACGATACGTCTGTTCAAAGTAAACAAATTAAACAACACATTACAACGAGGAAGACATAAAAAATGAAATTTGCAAAATAAAAATTTTCAAAAGAAGCCAACCAAAAATTAGAAACAGTGAAACAGTTACTAAGGTCCAACTTTTTAATTACATAAATAGATATCTATATTTAGTCTCCATCAACAGATTTTTCAGAAAGACTACAGCAAAAAAGCCGTCAACGTATCTCATACCTTTATAGAAAACAAAAAGCAGAGAATAATTTGAGTTAACCTGATCTCCCATTCACTGTTTCCGAAAAGAATAATTTGAAAAGTTTCAACAACTGTAACCCACCAACGTCAGAAAAATATTCAAAAAATTTTTTCGGAAGAAATTAGAAAACTTGGGAAAAGCTTCTCTAAAACAAAAAAATTTTGAAATGCAAAGCATTTACCTTCCCGGTAAGTATTGTCCAACGTGTTACTATCGATTCGCACATATTCCGCCTCAAATGTAGCAGAATATTATAAACAAAATATTGAAATAACTCATTAATTGGCTGAATACTTATTGGATACCCCATTATAAACTAACTCACCTAGATACTTAGAGTCAAAATTATTCCAGTTGATTCACCACAAATTCTACAGCGATTAAAATTATTATAAAGTGCAAATAAAGATATTCATGACGCTAGAGTTGAGAAATACAC